CAGATATTCTATCCACACTAATAAGATTAATCCCTAATTCAGGGATATAATAGACATCCTTTATTATATCTATATACCCTGAAGGGTATTTTATAAGGATATCACCCTGATATTTAGCTATTAGGCTTTTAGCCTTGCCCCATGAAATTATTTTGTTTATTTCTTTATATCTAAAGAAATAGTCCATTCTATGGATGGTATTTATAGTGGCAGCACTATCAATAACAAAATCCACTTTTAATCCTTCTTGAGGTAATAAGTGATCATTAGTGACTAGATGATCTAGTTCACTATTATTGATATTAGTGACTGCCCTAGTATTAGGGGTTATAAGAGGTAGGCATACCTCATTCCCAGCTATATCAAATAGCTGGTCATCAGGGATATCATTTATATTTAGCAATGGATCAGGGTCCATAGCCTGAAGGGTATATATTTCAGGATTCTTAGTCATATCTTGATCTAAATGATCATATTCATGACTATTAGATGAATCATGATTCGAATTGGTGTTCGATTGAGGATTTGAATGAAGATTCATATTTGAGGAATCATATAAGACATCAGGATCTAGACTAGATAGGACTGCTGCTAGAGCATCCTTATCCTTTAGTCTAGTCTGATTCTTTTGGTTCTTTTGAACCTTTATATCCTTTTGATTCATCTTATCATTCTTATTCCCCTTTTTCCACCCTTTAGGTGCCTTATTAGGGAATAAGAAATAGCAGTTACTAGTATCATGACTAGTAAGCTTGCAATGTTGGCAGTATCTGCCTAAGGCCTGCCTTTTATAGGATTTACCCTTAGCCTTAATATATAGTAGCCTATGGCTATTATTATGACCATTTTCCCTTCCTCGTGCCTCGTCTGCAAGGCTAGAAAATAGGGATTCAATGGTATAGGCTTTAGGGTCATTCCTAAGGGCCTGGGTTATATTAGATATAAACCCTTCATATTCATTGCCTAGGCTATTTAGCACCCAGGCTATAATAACCTGGTTAGGCAGAATGATATCTTTTCCTTTTAGGTCATCTACTAATGCCTTAACCTTATTAAGGTATTCCTCCATCGATTGGAAATCATCCAATGTGGTATTAAAGAAATCCTTTAAGGTAAGATATTCAGTAGTAAACCCCTTAGGATTATAAAGATCTTGAAGCCTTATCCAGGCCTCTTTAGCCCCAGCTATATCCTTTATATGAAGAAGGGGTCCATCTTCACATAGAAGTTTAATAATAGCTAGTGCCTTATCATTTTTCTTGCCAGAGATATCTTCCTCTATAGTAGAGGATAGATCTTCCTTTATAAGGGTAGCCTTAGTCCTAATAGACCAGGTTATATAGTTATCTGAGCCTCGTAGCTTTGGTAGGCTTATCTTATCCATAGATGCCATATTAAATATGACTTCTATAGGCTCAGAATATCGATTGATAATCAATCGATGCTAGGCATGAGCCTAGTATATGGATATGAAAGGATATCGATCAATAAATGATCAATAGTATAGATGCCTAGGCTAGGCCTAGGTATAATGAATTGCCTTTGAGCAAGGCCGGGCTCATAACCTGTGAATAAAAATGAACAGTATATACTAAATAGTATATAAATGACAAAGGAAATTTCATGAATATAGAGGGGAATAGATGGCTTGCCTAGGTATAAAGGAAGAATAGGAGGAATGGTAGTAGAATAGAATAGAATAGTAGAAGGAAAAATAGCTAAGGATATCTTAGCTTAATGTCTTAATTCCTTAATTAATTATGACTAGCTATAGGGTGATTTTAAGGGTGTATTTATAGATGATTCCTTCTAGCATAGGCCATTCGAATATTGAATGATCTCATAGCTGGGTGATCTCATAGATTAGATCACCATTTGCTAATGGTTGAAATCGATGATGATCAATGATGATCCATGACCATAAGGTTAGAACCATAGATATGATCAACGATCAACCATAGCGGATCAACCCATGGATATGGTCAACAATCAACTATAGCATGGTTTTCACCAACATATAGCTTGACCTGCATCTTAGAGTATTATGAAGTGTCCCTTATATAATAGTTTTATAGTAAAATAAAGGGTGTAAGTAACTAATAAAAATGTTTTTCTACTTAGTAGAAGTTAAATAGTTAGTTTAATACTAAACACTGATCAATAGTGAATTGAAAGAAGTAATTTAATATAGTCTAATTGAGATATACCTACTATACTCTGCAGTTTAAATATATTTCTATAGTAATAAAGAGTACCTTTACTGATGTAGCTTATTAACCACCATAACATGATAATATTATCTTAAGACTTAGATAATAGATAATTACCAGTGTTAATTTATTAAGAGACAGCTGAATTACTTAAGATTTCATATGTTTAAGGACTATATATTAATCAAAAGCACAGAGGTGACTGGAACAGGTGTAAATAATAGTATTTTATTTAAGTTAGTCAGCAGAATTATGCATCTTAGCATGGCCTAGTTAGGAAAATTATACTAAAATAAAATAACCTAGGTAACCCAACTAGGTAGCCCAGTTGGGTTCTGGGCTGGGCTTGGGCTTAGAGAGGGTGTTCCGGGTTTTAGTTACCTGGGCTGGGTTTTGGGCTCAAGGGGGGTGTTCCAGGTTGGGTTTTGCTGAGGTCTACTCGTGGGACAGAGCCCGCCCTGGCTAGCTAACCAAAGTCGCACGCTGTAATCCAATTGCTAGTCAGATATTGATTGAACTTTTGGATACTTCAAGGGAGCCGTGCTTGGTCACATACCTACGCCTGATCACAGTAAACACCGGCAACTGGCTTACGCACGGTGTTCTAGCCGGCCAATTGGTTGCTAACAAGTCTCATTATGAGACGCCAGAACAGCTAACAAGATGGCGAGTGTGTCCAAGTCATTGCGAGTTACGCTGCAGCATCATGCGTTGATCCATAGAGACTACAAGCAGTGGCCGAAGTTATCGTAGAGGCATCAATGGTATTATTAAGAATTGCGACTCAAGAAAGCAATAGCTAAGCTACTAGCTTGATAAGACAAACTACCAGCGGGACCCCGCCTATGTTGGCTCGCAGGCCATGAAACAACAAGCAGATTATCTTCAGGCGATATCGCCAAACAGTTGCAGCACGCCTTGCGTGCTCTTGCTTTCTCAGAGATCATAGTTTATGACTAACAAACAAGCCCGGTGGATTTGTTAGAAATAATGATAACCATTTCATACTCTCTTGGTCTGAGGCACAGGATTTAATATCTGTCTGTAGCTTGAGAATATCATCAGAAGTTCCTTGCCGTAGAAACTTAATAAGTCTCTTGAGTGTGTCTTAGGTCTGTTCCGCCTTCTTCAACGCGGATTTTCGACGCCTGTCTTGCCTTGCGACGAATATGCAATTTGCGTGTATGGCTACACACTGATCGCATGGGGATGAGCTGGAACACTACTATAATTAATAAATTTCAAGCGAATAAGTCGCAATATCTGCCTATGTAAGTTTTAAATAATGACAAGAGACGCGAGCTTTTCGCTCCTCTTGTTCCCTATACACACGGCGTCCACGAGACATAACCTGACTCCACTCTCGTTCGCAGCCAGAATTGACACGGGAAATAGTCTCCGCTATATAGAGGGGCTGGAGTTTGTTGCTTCTTCAGTGCGATTTCAAGACTAACTAGTGGCTGACTTAGCAGTAGAAACGTTTCCAATGAGTGTCTTATTCATATTCCTACATGTACGGCTTAACCTGAGTCTCCGACCATTCCCAATATTGCCTCCCAAGTTCCGGGTCCAGGAGGTCCTTTCGAGCGGGCTCAATCTTACCAAACGGGGACACTAGAGGAGGAAATGCGATTTAGTAGTTACTAGTGACTATAATAACCGAGGATAGCAAACTTACCCCAACCTCCATTATTCTCCTCCGTAATCGAGGGGTGTAACCCTGCAAAGAGCTCGGTGTATGCCCCGTTAATGGGCTCGTGCGATATAAGTCTCTAGGTTCATGATTAGCATCCAGCTTGCAAGGTTAAAATCAGATACAGATGGGTATCACATACAAACATCGCTAGCTGCATCCTCGGCATACTTTGCTGCAGGTTCGTGACGAAATTCCCTGGGTTAAGTGCCTTGATAATAATCAATCACCTGGTTATACCAGAGTAAGAGTGAGTAAGTTGTGGTGCAAAATTAAAACATACCACGCTAATAATACCCTCGCCAGCGGTTCTCCTTGCAAACTCTGCAGAGTGAAGGACATTTCCAGCCTTGCTCCGCGAGTACTTGGACCAAATCCCCTCCTCGACATGGTAGTCCATATTTGAAAAGTTAATCGCGGGCCGAGGAGCGCTATCCGCCGCGCTAGACGACACCCATACAACACGCACTGAGTTTTTCGGCGCAGTCTTTGCTGTTGCAACCAGGACCGGCCGCAGAAACTGCGTGAATAGAAAGTGTCCCAGGTTATTTGTTCCAATCTGCAGCTCGTAACCCTGAACGGTCTTGGACCCCTGCGGTGGAACCATCACCCCAGCATTGTTCCAGAGCACATCGAGGCGGGTTTCCTTGGCCAGAAATTCACCTGCCGATTGCTTGATTGTCGTGAGGTCGTCGAGCTGCAGGCGGAGGAAGATGAGCTCTCCCGTGGACGAGGGATGCGCGCGCTGAATCTCACGGATCACCTCCCTGGTTTTGGCCTCCGATCGAGCTGCGACGTAGATCTTGGCATTGTGTAAGTACAGGATTTTTACCAGCTCCTTTCCGAGACCGCCTGACCCTCCAGTGACTATAAAGACCTATATGGAAGGTTATTCTATAGCTCATTTTGGAATGTGCTGCTGTCAACGCGTACCTTGCCATGTTGGTCGGGGAGGTTTTGTTCGGTTAAGACAGGCTTGTGAGGGAAGAAGGTGCTTCGCCGCATTTGGAATTTGTTGCGAGATGGGTGGAAAAATATTGCGTTTTATCTGTGTAGGAGTGAATTGATTGATGGATGATATTACTGGCGTCATGTAGCATCCTGGCTTGTTCTTATAGCCCTCTCGACTTGGTCTGATCCATGGGATGAGACGATCATTTCTGTGCTAAACCTTTTTTGGACAGATGCGGCCGCGCTGTCCGCATCATGTTTTGCCTCCTTCTCAGACTCCTTGCACTTCAATTCAGCCTTCTTTTTTCTGTCATGGAGTCTCCTACGCAAAACGCCACCGCCCCTCAAGCATGCGGGGCGTGTAAAAAACACAAGCGGAAATGCGACAAATTGCTGCCTCAGTGCAGCCTTTGCATCCGCACCTGCCGCACCTGTGACTATAACGATGCTCCCAGACCCCCTCCAACGGCGGCCGAGTTCGCCGCTCTCCAAGGAAGACTGGCGGAACTGGAGCACCGGGTGCGCAGTACTTCCTTGCCCTCGGACTCTATGTCCGCTACCCTCAGTGTCTCTGGGAACAGTACGCTTCCCGCTGAATATATCGCAACGAAAGGGCCTAGCCAGGGACCAGCCGACTTCCCGTCGGCTTTGTTCTTGGATTTTGACTGCTACCGATGGTCGAATATGCAACTGCCAAGACCGGATGTTGGCATTCCGACGGTAAGGAAGGAGTGAATTCTCCATCATTCCCACCCTCCTTTCAACCAGCACCATCAAAAACAGTAGCTAACGAATGTCCAGGAAGTACTGGGAATCCTCAGCCAGGAAAACACTGTGCTAGAAATTTCAGCCCTTTACTTTGGCACAATTCATCGCTGGCTGCCTATAGTCTCAAAAAAGCGCATGGAGCTTGGCATCTCGTTGCAGAACAGCGGACCAGACCTCGCCATGCTTTTCCTCGCAATGAAACTGAACATTTCCCTTCCAACGGCTGGAACTAACTCACTGTATTCAATTTCAAAAAGCTTTTTGGCGACGCTGGAAGCAGGTGGTCTGGTATCCCTTGTCTATCTGCAAGCCATGATCCTAGTCGCCGTCTACGAATACAGCCACTCCATCTATCCGGCCGCATGGATGACTGTGGGAGCATGCGCCCGACTCGCTGATCTCCTTGGGCTGTCATCGGGTACGGACTCGATGAAAGTTATGAGTCGCGCGGTAAGTACAGCTGGTCTTGACGAGTTGAGCGGGTACCATGACTCACCCTCTCAAGTAGACGACATGGACGGAGGTGGAAGAAAAACGACGGGTTTGGTGGGCCATATATATCCTAGATCGGGTTATATCCCTCGGCAGTCGCAGGAGATTCTGTTTTCCTGAGCCGATGGATGGCCATGTCCTTCCTGCCAGCGATGAAGCTTGGGTAAATTGCCTACTTCCCTTTCTCTTCTTCGGAATAAAAAGGGAACACTACCGGGTACTGATAGATATCCACCTCCTAGGATTCGGGCGATGTGACAAACATTATCCAGCACTCAAGCACAACCCCTTTATCAACCCAAACATCGCCATTTGCTCGGCTCTGTCAATCCGCTATGTTCATCAGCCGCGCCGCGGCATTCCGCAATAGTTCCCAGACGGCGCCCCTGAACCATATAAGTGCACGTACTAGCCTGACCGAGGAACTTTGCATCTACAGTTCGATCCTCACCGACGAAATTATCTCCTCCTCCTTGGATGGCTACTTTCGCCTGCTCGCGCCCCGCTGCCTGACGTGGTCCGCCCTTTTCATGCTGCTTGATAACTACTGCTGCCCTGAGAAGCTCAGCGACGAACCGGGTTTCACCCCGTCCGGCGAAGTCAAGGGAACGGAGGAACTCGCTACACAGCTACAGGCCACGCTCGTCGTGCGAAGTATCAGCGACCAGGCGCATGAGCAGACAAAGACCCTCATGGACATTTTATTTGGCCCGGCTTCAAGTATGGATAGTATGAATACAATAGGGAGTTTGAGTCCGCTCTCGCTAGACGCGCTGTATTGCTCCATGGTCACATTCCAGTGGATCTATCGTGAGGGGGGAGAGGAGCTGGCCAAGTCTCAACTAGAGGATATGGAGGCTTGGATGCGGAGATTGAGTGAGCGGTGGAGGCTTGCCTCTGAGTATCTGACTCTCTCCGAGATCTACCGTACTGTTGAAACCTCCTAAATGCAATCTGAAAGCAATACTGAATGATACATTCTCCCTACACGACCGGGCCGCCCCCCCCCCCCGTCGCGCCCCCGCCCTCGTGCCCGGGACCCCCCCCCGCCGGCCACCGCCTCCCCACCCCCCCGCGTCCCGCGCCGTCCGGGAGGGACGATCGGGGTCTCATCTGGTTCCTCTACTCCCCAGGGGGTGATCCACCGCGCCCCTGATGGACTTCTCCGCCTGCTCATTGGTCCGTCTGGTCCGTCCGGTCTGTCTGTCCGTCCGTCTATTTTATTTTTATTTGTCTGCTCCACCTTTCCTTGCGCATGTTTTATGTGTGCGTGCTCCCCTCCCGTCCCTCCCCAGGGTGCATGCCCATAGGCTGGTGCTTCCTGGCTGGGCCTGCCCGCCTGCCCATACCTCTCTAGTGCTTGTGCTTCCTCCACACGCACTTACACTTAGATACACATGGCTTTTGCCTGATCCCTGATATATAATTTAATATAATTCCTTTTTCTTTCTGTGTCAGCCCCCATAAGCTGCGTATCGCGTTCAGAACTTATGACCTATGTCACGTCGCATAACACCATGTATAATCACCTGCTGAGGGGGATGTGGATTCTGATTAATTTATAGAGCAAGCAGAGAGATTATCATCATTAGAACAAGCTGGTTAATTTTCCATCTCTACTATCCTATTCTAATTCTCTCCTCTTCCAATATTATCTTTGAAATGGACCTATTTCTCCATAATCCTACCTACCAGGTCTGGATCTGCACTGCACCTCGCTGCCAGTATGCAGTCTCACCCCAGACCTTACTGGGCCATCTCCACGCCTGCCACCGGTCTCATTCCGCAGTGGCCACTCCTGCTCTCTGCTAGGCAGTGCTGACCCAGATGCTCCAGCGGCCATGGGTGGACCCTCACCAGGGGCCCTGCCCCCAGCCCTCCGCGGGGGACCCCCCCGTGCCAGGCCTGCCGGTGTACCAGGGTTCTGGGTGCCCGCACTGCCCTTATATCTGCCGGTCCCTGGCCCGGCTTCAGGACCACCGCGCCCAGAAACATCAGGATCAGGATGGGCACTGGGGCCGGGGCAGGCTCCCAGCCGCCCAGGCCCGCCTAGCAAATTGTGTGGTGAGCTGTCAGCGCTTCTACCATATAGGGCCAGGGAGCCACTTCTTTGAGGTCACCTGCGCCCCCCCTGCTCCGGCACTAGGCAAGTAGGGGTCAAAGGTCCCTTCCACTGCGGCCATGACCCCTGCGGACCGGATCCGCGCCCACATCAATCAGGCCCTGCAGGAGAGGGAGGCCGCCGCAGAGCTTGCCAATGGCCAGGTCCCCAGCCTTAACACATACCCGACTGAGGTCTCTCCCTGGCTGGAGCTAACCCACTGGCCAGAGTACCTGCGGGGGCAGGACCTGACCGCGGTGGCCCTGCTGGGTTGCCTGCTAGACCCAGCATGGGAGCCCCTGCTGGCCCTATTCAGTGCTAGTGTTGAGCGGCTGGTCTAGCAGGCCTACCAGACCATCTGGAGCAGCCAGATCAATGAGTTTGATCAGATCCAGATCAACACCTTCTTTCGCAAGCCTGGGCTCTGGAACTGGCCCATCCAGATCCACCTGCGGCTAAAGACCTATCACTAGTACTGCCAGGTCTGGTAGTGGCTAGTCTGCTTCGCCTACTACAGCACCCAGCCTGACCAGCCCATCCAGCTGCAACACCAGCTCAACACCACCCAGCTGGCCGCGCTAGACCAGATAGAGGAGTACAGCCAGGAGCTGCTTGCCCTACGCGCCAAGGGGGTGCCAGATACCCCACAGGTATTACAGGCACCGCAGGCACCGCAGGCATCGGGGGCATCAGGGGCATCAGAGGCATCACATACACGACTCCAATCACTTGCACCATGGCCACCAATAGCGCCCCCAGTGCCCCAGACGTTGGCAGAAACACTAGGACCCCCAGTGCTACCGGCACCCCCAGCACTATCCTCCCAGGAGAAAAAGGCACAGGACCAGCTAGACCAGGCCTGCCTGGCCCTCTCCATCGCCCTCCTAGATCATACCCTGAAGGGGGATCTCTTTGAAAGCACCCTGGTTGCCTTCCTGGCAGTACTAGGGGTGGACCCTGCGCGCCAGACATTCCAGGAGCCCTGTGCCTATGCTAGTTACCTATCTGGGCTAGTTAAGATAGCCCAGATGCTGGTGGCCCTGCAGGCAGTCCATCTGACTAAGACTGGTGAGGTCAGCCACCCAGCAGATGCCCTGGATGAGATGCGCGAGCGCTTCCTGCTGTATGGGGTGCGCGCCCCCTTTAGCTGGATCACACGGCTGCGCACATACAGGAAGAAGATCCAGAACAGCACCACTAGCCTGGGCTATATCTACTGGAGTAGTGATGAGCAGACCCTCAGCTATAAAGACCTGCGGCTCAGCATGCAGGGGCTACACCAGTTCATTACCAGCTAGGTGCAGCTAGCCTAGGCAGACCTTACACGGCTCTTCCTACTCTATGAGGAGGAGGTGTGGGAGGAGGTAGTACCCCAGCTGGTGCTGCACAAGCTACAGGATGATCCCACTAATAACCAGCAGGGCTGGAACTTCCTGTGGGACCAGCGTACCCGGGCAGCCCTGCCTACCACAGGGGAGTGGTGGCTGCTAGACTGCGTGCTAGGGGCAGACTGGCTACAGGAGGAGTTCCTACAGCTACACTAGATTAGCCAGCAGGACCAGGTGCTGTGGCAGGAAGGTGTAGTGAACCACTACCTACAGCAGGCCAAAGCATTCCTAGAGCACCTACTTCTATTAGTCTATATTACTGGGGGGCAGCCAGGCCGGGCCACAGAGCTACTCAGCCTGCGCCATAGTAATACCCTGCATGGCCGCCACCGCAATGTATTCATTAAGCATGGGCTCGTGAGCACGGTCACTATGTACCATAAGGGGTATTCCATTGATAACACCATGAAGATCATCCACCGGTATCTGCTGAAGGCTGTTAGTGAGCTAGTGGTCTACTATCTGTGGCTAATCCTGCCCTTCTGCCAGGCACTGCAGAAGCTGGTCCATGGGCAGAAGGGCCCAGCATCCGCCTTCCTATGGCCTGTGGGGGATGGGAGCTGGGATAGTAGCCAGCTGCGCAAGGTCCTCCAGCATAAGGCACAGACCCATCTACAGACCAAGATGAATATCCTGTCCTACCAGCACGCAGCTATCGCCATCTCCTGTGTACACCTGAAATGTGGGGGGTTCAAGCAGGACTATGGGGCAGATGATGCGGCCTTAATGAGCAGGCTAGCCATGGGTCCTGGATCACAGGCATAGTGTATGCGCGGGGGCTACAGGAGGCACTAGGCCATGTAGAGGCACGGCAGCGCTAATACCAGGCTATTAGTCGTGAATGGCATGGGTTCCTAGGCTTTGAAACCTACCTAGGGCCCCGCAAGCGGCCTGCAGGGGGTGATCCTGAGGTAGGGTGGTCAAAGAGGCAATGTATCATGGTGGAGATGGACTATGATTAGGGGGGGGTGGGGAATGGGGTATGGAATCAAGTGAGGAATTACAGGAGGAATTAAGTGAGTAATTAAGGATGAAGTTAAGCATGAAAATCAGCATGGAATTAAGCAAGAAATTAAGGAAGAAAACAAGCATGGAATTAAGTGAGGAATTAAGCATGAAATTGAACTTGGAATCATATATAACATCAAGCATGTGACATTGACCAGGGCATTAATAGAGGAATTAAGTATATAATTAAGTATGCAATCAAGTATGGAATTAAGTATGGAATCGAGTATGCAATTGAGTATGGAATTAAGTATGGAATTGAGTATGCAATCAAGTATGGAATTAAGTATGGAATCAAGTATGGAATTGAGTATGACATTAAGTGGCATCAAGCATGGTAGGGAGGATGACTGGACCAGCCCAAAATACAGGATGACCGCCCGGCAGCGCAAGAAATGGCAGCAGCTGTGGCAGCTAGCTAGCCAGGCCCCAGGCTGCCCTATCCCACAAGGGTTAGGAACTGTACTAGAGTTCCATTAGGGCTTTAACTATATTAGGTATAGTAGCTATCTTGGCATGGTATAGTTCCATTCTTTTCCTTAGGTATAGGGCTGCTACCAAATCAAGATAGAATTTATTGAAATTTTGGTAGCCTTTTAATTCTGGTATAAAGTCTAAGATAGTAAAATTTCAATGGGAAATTCCTTTCTTTAGGTGTGTTATAGCTGCTCCTTTTTTCCAGCCTTATATGATGGGGTTTACTAAGCTGCTGATTAGATAAGGTAAGCATACTAGCTACATAATTCAGGGGCTCATTCAGTATAAGATTATAATCTTATCATCCTAAATCTGTATCTGAATAGATAAGATCTTTATTCTGAATTAATTTCCTATTATGGAGCATCAGTTCTTCCTAAAATTATCCCAGTTCCCAGTTATTATATGCCGGATATGCCGCCATGGTGTCTGGCCTAGTGAGGTTAGTAGCCATCTACAGGGGAAGAATCATCATCTCCCACAGGCAACCGCGAAGCAGGTTCACAAGGCCATTCAGGGGTGGGATGGCATTGAGCATGATCCCCTAGCTATTCAATGGCCAGCTAGTCTAGCTTAATCAATCCCTGAGCTGGATGAGTACCCAGATGGGTTACTATGCCAGCATGCACCTATGCAATGCCACTATGTCACAAGATCAATCAAAACCATTAAGCGACATTGGCGTGAGCATCATGGGTGGAAGGTCCTATATAAAGGGGGCCGACCTAATCACCATGAGCAGGAACAGGCCCAAACTATGGTCCAACAGGGGTTCAAGGTAGTGACCTGCCAGCGGTTTTTCCCTTCACGAAAGGGGTCCCACTATATCTGGGTTCGAAGCCCTGAGCCCCTGGCTAGGCCAGCAGGCCCTGCGCCTAGCCTGGGTGTCCAGGCTGCGGTAGATGAGGTGGTGCAGGCCTGGGAGCAGGCCCAGGCCCGGGCTAAGGCAGACCAGGCCATCCAGGCCAGCCAGTTAACTGACGCGAACCCCTGGCTGCGGATGACTCGGTGGGCCGACTATCTGCAGGGCATCCAGGCCCATGACCTGCTAGCCTGCGTGGCAGCCCCGGAGGAAGATCCCCAGGATGCCACTGAGCAGTGTGTGCAGGTCGTCTGGGCCACCATGGAGCAGGTCGCCTGTAAGAGCCAGCAGACAGTCCAGCATTGCGGCCAGGCCATCCAGGTGGAAGCTGTCCAGTCTGAAAAGGGGCAGACCCCGCACCGGCCATTATTAGCATATATGGACGAGGCCGCAATCCAGAAGCATGTCCGTCCATGGCAGCAGATATTAGCATTCATTGCCCGCACGCAGGCCCCGCATGACTGGACCAGCCTGAAATACGGGATGACCGCCCGGCAGCGCAAGAAATGGCGGCAGCTGTGGCAGCTAGCTAGCCAGGCCCCAGGCAGCCCCGATCCCATGGATCCCAAGACTGACGACCCGCAGCGGCAGGCATGGGCCATGACCACCATTGAAAAAGCATGCTTAGAGTTTTGCATTGAGTTGCTGAACCAGCGCCATCGCAGCCATGAATATGAGAGTGCACTGGTATGCGCCATGGCTGTGTTGGGGCAGGGGGACACTGGCTGGCGGGACCCTGAGAGCTACCCCCTGATATTATCCCACATGATCAAGGTGGCCCGATTCATGGTGGTGCAGAAGGCATTATGGATGGACCCTAATCCATGGCAGATTATTCAGACCTGGGCGCGGAAGGACCAGAGCGCTGAATGGGTGCTGGCCAGCGCGGATGATCAACTCAGGGAGATTGATGAGGGATATGGCAGCAATGACCCCCCATCCACCCCAGGGCCCCCATCATCGCCCCCGTCATCCATCCATAGTGATGACCCATTGCCCGCGGTTAACATTTGCCTGAGCCGCCGGCCATTCCAGGAGCAGGTGACATGGATGATGCACTAGTTTATGATCCGTGGGACCCACGGCCCCATGGAGACATTGCTAGACTGGCGCACATATGGATTAAAGGTCCATTATAATCATACAGCCCCCGGCCATGTGACATGGATGGGGGAGGACCAACTGTTATACCAGCAGATGGCATTCACCATGGGCGATTTCCGGGGGTTCATCCATGGATTGGTGACCGCGGCCCGGGAGATACTTAGTCATTTATGCATGCAGGATCATGCGCAGATGCCCCCCATTCCATGGATAGCATTATATGACGATCCCAGCCAGAGCCAGGCCGGGTGGAACTTTATGCACGACGCACGGACCCAGTGGCCGGTGGATGGGACCCACTGGATGATCAACCGGCTGCGGGCTGAGCCAGCCATGCAGCGGCATTTCCTGCGGGGGGGCCGATTCCACCCCAGTGCCATCCAGCAGTACTGGCAGCGCGTGGCCCAGTTTAAGGAGAAATTAGCCATTATGGTGCATGTCACCGCAGGGCAGCCGGCGTGGGCCCCAGAGTTATTAAGCATTCAGTATTGCAACACAGCGAACAGTCGCCAGCGGAATATATATATTAAGGATGGCATGGTGACATTTGTGACAGCATATCATAAGGGGTTCCATGCTAGTAATGATGTGAAGATCATCCATCGATATGTGCCGCGGGAGGTCGGGGAGTTGGTGGTATGGTATATCTGGCTGGTGATGCCATTTGTCGACCAGTTGGCTGCATGGCAGGCCGCGCAGGTCGCGCAGGGGAGCCAGGCTGTGCAGGGTAGCCAGACCGCGCAGGGAAGCCAGACCGCGCGGTGGAGCCAGGCCGCGCAGGGAAGCCAGACTGCGCGGTGGAGCCAGGCCGCGCAGGGAAGCCAGACCGCGCAGGGAAGCCAGGCCGCGCAGGGAAGCCAGACCGCGCAGGGAAGCCAGGCCGCGCAGGGGAGCCAGGCCGCGCAGGGAAGCCAGACCGCGCGGTGGAGCCAGGCCGCGCAGGGAAGCCAGACCGCGCAGGGGAGCCATGGAGCACAAGGCAGCCAGGTCGCGCAGGGGAGCCAGGCCGCGCAGGGTAGCCAGACCGCGCAGGGAAGCCAGACCGCGCGGGGGAGCCAGACCGCGCAGGGGAGCCAGGCCGCGCAGGGGAGCCAGGCCGCGCAGGGAAGCCAGACCGCGCAGGGGAGCCAGGCCGCGCAGGGGAGCCAGACCGCGCAGGGGAGCCGGGCCGCGCAGGGAAGCCAGACCGCGCAGGGGAGCCAGGCCGCGCAGGGGAGCCGGGCCGCGCAGGGAAGCCGGGCCGCGCAGGGAAGCCATGGAGCACAAGGCAGCCAGGCATGGTTATGGGGCCCCGACCCCGGTACCGGCCGTGAATGGTCGTCCGAGCGGTTCCGGGAGGCGTTGAAACGGGAAACCCGCACCCGGCTCGGCACCGCCATCCATATCGCGGCATACCGGGACATCGCCATTGGCATCAGCCGCCGATTTTTGCGGCCATCCACTGCGTTCCCCCATAATATCCAGGAGGCCGAGCCGGCCCCAGCAGCCATGGATGCCGATGCGGAGGAGAGCATGGATATTGAGCAGTGGATGGGCCATATTGCTGATTTACAGGCCGCCCATTCATCACATGTTGCTGGCATGGTATATGGCCGCATCATGCAGGAACAGGCCGGCAGCACCGCCCACCGGCAGGAGATGTTCCGGTTATCCAGCACCGATTGGCACCTGTTTTTAGGATTTGGGGACCCCCCCGTCCACGTTAGGCAAACGCAAACGGGCCCCGTGGGAGGATCAGGCCGAGGTCAGCCGCATGGAACGCCGCCACTAGTTGGCCACCATGGATCTGGAGGCAGCCGCGCAGCGCATGACCGGGCGGCCCGACATGCAGTTCCGGGGGGTCCAGGACCCGGCCATGCAGGCCATCCAGCGGGGAGAGAGCCCCGTGGTCGCAGTGATGCCCACCGGCGGGGGGAAGAGCATGCTGTTCATGGTGCCCGCGTTCGCCGCCCCTGGGGGCACCACCATTGTTGTGGTGCCGCTGGTCGCATTACGAGCTGATATGACCCGGCGATGCCAGGAGCTCGGCATATCATGTGTGCCGTGGGAGAGCCGGCGGCCCCCCAATGCCGCATCCATCGTGTTAGTGACGCCCGAATCTGCGGTCAGCCCCGATTTCCAGACGTTTTTGAACCGGCTGCGGTGGACCCGGCGGCTGGACCGGATCGTGATCGATGAATGCCATGTGGTGTTGAATGACCAGCGGGATTTCCGGCCCCAGATGGCCCAGCTGGGCCAGTTGGTCCAGGCCCGCACCCAGATGGTGTGGTTGACCGCCACATTGCCCCCGAGCATGGAGGACGAATTATGCCGGCGGATGAAGCATGACCGGGCCGCCGTGACCATATACCGGGCCCGGACCAGCCGGCCGAACGTGGCATACCGGGTGTGGCGGCCGGACATGACCGGGGTGGGCCGGGGGCCGTATCAGTGGATCGAGAGCGAGGCCGTGGTGGCATTCATTCAGGACCGCATCCGACAAGCCGCTGGGGGGAAGGTGATCATATATGCGAATATCATCGGGCAGGTGACGGCCATGGCGCAGGTGCTTAGGTGCGAGGCGTATTACAGCGAGCAGTTGGACAAGGCCGGGGTGTTAGCGCGGTTCATGGGGGCCAGCCCCGTGATCACCGCCACCAGCGCGTTAGGCATGGGGGTGGACATCCCCAATATCCGCAGCATCATCCATATCGGGACCCCCCGGACGTTATTGGATTACGCGCAGGAGAGTGGCCGGGCTGGGCGGGACGGACAGCGCAGCGAGGCAATCATTATCCAGCCCACCGGGTGGGACGCCCCGGCGCCATGGATGGAGGGTGTGGCCCCCGAGGACCAGGAGCAGGTGGCTGAGTATATGGGGGTGGTGGAAGGGGTTGGGTGCCGGCGCGTGGTGTTGGATCAGTATTTGGACGGAGTGGTGGACGGGTATCAGCGGTGGTATTGCCAGGATGCAGATGCCGGGGAACAGGCATGTGATGGGTGTGATCCCGATTGGGCGGGGCTGGTGGAACCAGCCGGGGTTGGTAGCAGCCCGGTGCCGGGTGAGCAAGCCCCAGAGGTTCCGTGCCAGGCAGGCAGCATGGTAGCGAGAGAGGCCCCGTGCGAGGCAGGCCGTCAGGCAGGGAGAGAGCCAGGGAGAGAGGCCCCATGCCAGGCAGGCCGGCAGGCAGGAAGTATGGCAGGGAGAGAGGCAGCGCGAGAGGCCCCGTGCCAGGTAGGCCGTCAGGCAGGCCGTCAGGCAGGGAGAGAGGCAGCGCAAGAGGCCCCGTGCCAGGTAGGCCGTCAGGCAGGCCGTCAGGCAGGGAGAGAGGCAGCGAGGGAGGCCCCATGTGAGGCAGGCCGTCAGGCAGGGAGAGAGGCAGTCAGAGAGGCCCCATACAAGGCAGGCAGCATAGTAGCATGGGAGGCACCCCAGGTCAGCCGCAGCCAGGTGCCATGCGAGCCCGCCAGGGAGGCCGCCAGTCCCACCCCATCCAATGATTCATTTTGCAGCCAGCCATCCATTCCCATGGCGGTATGGCACACCCAGCAGGTGCAGGCCCAGCAGTGGGCTGCCATGGATATCCAGCAGCAGCAGCATCAGACCCAGCAGGGTTTGGATGAGGAGATGGCCCAGGCTGAATGCATGCAGTGGCGGGATCAATGTTATATATGCGCCATACAGGGGGGTGATAGTGGCCATGAGTTATATGCATGTCATCAGCCCCACAGCCAGGCCGCACGGGCATGGATGATCCGTGTGCGTCGGCAGCTCCAATATGCCCCATACAGTGCATGTTATTCGTGCGGCATGCCCCAATCCATATGCCATGGGTGGGAGCCGGGCCATGCATGTGAATACCGTGGGTTTTTGATCCCCATGGTGGCCATGATGTTATTCGGGCCATGGCAGGGCCAGATTGAGCCCGTATGGCAGCGCCGGTTGCAGGGAATAGGGGTTGATGGGCAGGATGAGGCCCAGGTGGTCCAGTTTTTGGGGCAGGCGCACCCCAACCACGAGGGGCACAACCAGTTATTTACATCATTTTGTTGGTTACGGCGGTTATGTCAGGAGATTGAGGTCGATCAGCATTGGTAGATTGGTGAATGAATATATATTTTCAGATACCATAATGCGCAGAGATATATATTAGACAGTTTGTATAGTATGTTGGCTGAATCCATGGTTTGTACACATGTATATATATATAATCAGTCATCAGGGGGGATATATAATATTAACCATAGTCAGGAGAGAGGTAGGTAGTAGGTCAGGAGGAGGGAGCAAGGTAGGCAGTAGGTAGGCAGTAGGTAGATAGTGAGGTAGACAGTGAGGTAGACAGTGAGGTAGACAGTGAGGTAGACAGTGAGGTAGACAGTGAGGTAGACAGTGAGGTAGACAGTAAGACAGACAGTAAGACATACAGTGAGGTAGATAGTAGGGTAGATAGTACAGTTAATAGTAAGGCAGGCAGTGAGACAGGCAGTAGATAGGCAGTAAGACAGGCAGTGAGACAGGCAGTATGGTAGGTAGAGAGACAGGCAGTATGGCAGGTAGAGAGATAGGTAGTGGGACAGGCAGTGAGACAGGAAGATAGGGAGGGAGGAGGGAGTGAGGTATATAGTAAGATATATAAGGAAGTTAACAGTAAGGTAGGCAGGAAGACAGGCAGGATAAGACCCAGGTGGTCCAGTTTTTAGGGCAGGCATACCCCAACCAGGAGGGGCACAGCCAGTTATTTATATCAGTTTATTAGTTATAGCAGTTATATTAGGAGATTAAGGTTAATCTGCATTGATATACTGGGCGAATGAATATATATATTTTAGGAGAGCATAATGGCAGCAGAGATATATATTATATATTTAGTTCCCATAAATATGTTAGCCAAATCCATGGTTTGTGAACATGCATATATATATAAGATTAGTTATCATGGGGGATATATAAAATATTAAATATAGTTAGGACAGAGGCAGGCAGCGAGACAGGCAGTGAGGTAGACAGTGAGGTAGACAGTGAGGTAGACAGTGAGGTAGAAAGTGAGGTAGAAAGTGAGGTAGATAGCAAGACCAGCAGCAAGACAGGCAGCAAGGTGGATGGTGAGGTAGGAAGAATAGCAGATTAAATAGCAGGTTGTATAGCAGACAGAATGGCCAGCAGTGAGGTAGTAATCAGGGTAGCGAGCAAGGTAGTAAGGTAGATCATAAGGCCCCCAGGAAGGTTGTGTATGAGGCAGGCAGTAAGGGAGATGGTAAGGGAGATAGTGAGGGAGATGGTGAGGGAGATGGTGAGGGAGATGGTAAGGGAGATAGTGAGGGAGATGGTGAGGGAGATGGTGAGGGAGATGGTGAGGGAGATAGTGAGGGAGATGGTGAGGGAGATAGTGAGGGAGATGGTGAGAGAGATGGTGAGGGAGATGGTGAGGGAGATGGTGAGGGAGATAGTGAGGGAGATGGTGAGAGAGATGGTGAGGGAGACAGTAAGGTAGGGAGAATGGCAGATTAAATAGCAGGTTGTATAGCAGGCAGTAAGGTAGGCAGTGAGGTAGACAGAATGGGAGGCAGAATAAGGCAGAATAGGAGGCAGAATAGGAGGCAGAAAGGCAGGTCAAACAGCAGGGAGAATGGCAGGCAGTGAGGTAGTGATCAGGGTAGTGAGCAAGGTAGTAAGGGAGATCATAAGGCCCCAGGAAGGTTGTGCATAAGGTAGGCAGTGAGGTAAGCAGTGAAGCAGATAGTAAGACAGGCAGTAAGGCAGGCAGTAAGGTAGGCAGTAAGGTAGGCAGTGAGGTAGGTAGTAAGGTAGATCACAAGACCAGAAATGAGGTAGATGGTGTAGTAGGTAGTGGGGTTAACAGTAAGGCAGGCAGGAAGATAGGCAGGATAAGGCCCAGGTGGTCCAGTTTTTATAGCAGGCACACCCCAACCAGGAGGTGCACAGTGAGTTATATTTATATCATTTTATTAGTCACAGTAGTTATGTGAGGAGATTGAGGTCAATCAGCATTAATATATTAGGTGAATGAATATATATATTTTAGGATACCATAATAGTGCGGAGATATATATTATACATTTAGTTTAGGTTAAATACATCAGCTAAATCCATGGTTTGTATACATGCATATATGTATAAGATGAGATGTCAGAGAATATATATAATATTTACCATATTCAGGAGAGAGGTAGGTAGTACAGTATGAGGTGGAGGGGGAATTCAGAGGTAGGAGATAGATAGATAGGTCCCATGCCATATAGAACACATGGTAGGGCAGGAGGAACCAGGTAAGGTAGGCAGCATGGTAGATAGTGAGGTTAACAGTAAGACCAGCAGCAAGGTAGGCAGCAGACAGGCAGAAAGACAGGCAGGCAGAACCATGTAAGGCAGGCAGCAAGGCAGGCAGTGAGGTTGACAGTGAGGTAGGCAGTGAGGTAGACAGTGAGGTAGGTAGTGAGGTTATAATGCAGGTTATAAGGCCCCAGAGAGGTTGTTATGCATAAGGCAGGTAGTGAGGTAGAAAAGAGATAGGGAGGGAGGTATTAGGTAAGGTAGAGAGAGAGGCAGAGATGGACCATATAATATAGAAAGCAGAGTCAGGCAGAAGGAACCAGGTGAGATATTAATCAAGATCAGTCATGAGGTAAGTGTATGGATATATATATTATAGATTAGGTTAGAAAATGAATATTTTAGCAGAAGCAGCATTTTTTATATATATATAATAAAGTATCCAGGGAATATATATAATATTAAGTAAGGCAGCTAGAGAGCCCCATATAAGGCAGGTAGTAAGGCAGGCAGAACAGTAGGTAGTAAATTAGTGATTAGGGTAGTGAGTGAGGTAGCAAGGTAGATTATAAGGTCCCAGGAAGGTTATATATGAGGCAGGCAGAACAGCAGGTTAAACAGCAGGTTAAATAGTAGGTTAAATAGACCCAAACAGGCAGAACAGCAGGGGGAGTAGCAGATTAAATAGCAGGTTAAATAGCAGGTTGAATAGCAGGTTGAATAGCAGGTTGAATAGCAGGTTAAATAGGCAGAATAGGTAGAAGGTAAGATGTAGTAAGGATAATAGAGTAAGGGTTAGTAAGTTTAAGATAAGAATAGGGGGTAGAAATATATAAGATAATAAGAGTTTAAGTAAAGAGAAGAAATAAATAAGATTAAAATAGAAGAAGAAAGAGAAGAGGAAAGAGAAGAGGAAAGAATTTAGAGTAAAGAGAAGAGGAAAGAATTTAGAGTAAATAGAATTATTAGTATAATTAAAGTAAGGGTTAGGATTATTAAAGAGGATTAGGGTTTAATATAGAGATAGAATAGGAAGAGAGAAGAGTAAGGGTTAGTAATATTTAAGTAAGGGGAAGGATTTATAGTAATTTAAGTCAGAAAAAGGATTATTAAAGAGAATAAAGATAAGAAAGAGGGATTAATTAAAGAGGGTAAAAGAAGTAGGGATAAAGAGGGTAAGGATAAAAAGAGATTAGATTAATTATAATATAAGAGAGGGGAAGGGATTATTTTTAAAGAAATAAAAGAGAAGATTAAGAAAGAAAAGAAGAAAGAGTAGATAAGAAAAGAGAAGATTTAGATTAGGGTTTAATAAGAAATAAAGTAGATTAGAAGAAGAATATAAGAAATTAAGAAGTTAAAGAAGAGGGAAGGTAGGGATAGTAAAGAAGAAGATAGTAAGAGATAGAGTAAGGGATAGAGCAAGGATTAGTAAGTTTAGAGAAGGGAAGAGGATATAAGAGTTTATTTAAAGAGAAAAGAATAGAAGATAAAGATAGATTAGATAGAAAGAGTTTAAAAGATAAGAAAGAAATTAATTA